GGAACCTTTAGAGAGGAGACTCAGCATCTGGTGACAGTGCAGGAAGCAAACTGGGAGGAAAATTTTCTGACCACATTGTCCAACACTGGTTCCTGAAGGAAAAGGAAACCTTTGATGTAGTTCATACAGGTCAGATCCCCCCAGGACATAGAACAGGGAGGAGAGTGAATGCAGAAGATGGAGAGATATCCAGCAACTTGGTGAGGGCATGTTAATAGTAGTCACTGGGAACTGTGCATGCAATGAGAAAGGGTACCCCGTCAGCTTCATGTACATAGTAAGGAGGAGGGTAAAAAGCATACTGTTATTAGAGGGTTAACCTGACTGAGATTTGTCTGAACTATTCTACTGAAATAAGAAATGGACCCGTGTGGTACTGTCCCATGGTAAAAACATTAACCATACTAAGAGTATTGTTTTATAACCATAGATCTGAGGAGTTTTGGATGCTTTGTACCAGTTTGTTGTTTATTGGTAACAACAAGGTTGTTTGCACCTGATCTTGGTGAACCTTCCCACCAAGAGCTCTGCTGTTAATGCTAGCTACATAGCAAGAATATGCCTACATAACCCGCAGTGTAGGAGAATCCTGGTCTGAGACTCCATTTGTACTCTCCGGTTCTGAGGTATTCTGTGTACACATCAGTGGTTCCTTGTCCAAAAGAAGAAGTGCATATTGCCAGGGCTCTTATAGAGGGAAGAAAATTGGAGTTTTCACCAGGCCACTCCAGACCCTTTATTATGAGAGAGCTTTTAGCTGTGACACAGATTCTTAATGCTGTTGCTATATTGAATTTTTTTTCTGCATTAAACTGTGGATTTGCAAGCATTGACATTTGGAGTCCCATGAGTCTCCTTTAGCAATGGAACTGTTTAGCTGCTATAGTTATCATAACATCTGAAGAAGGAAATATACCATACTGTGAAATGCCTTCTATTTGCCTTTGTTTATATATATATGATTTTCTCCGAAGACACTTTTAGGTTCTCCTCAATAGATATGTATTAATCCTTGCTTTTATGTATTCTTATTCCCAAACTTTGTTTTATACCTTAGAAAGACCTTGATTTCCCATCCCTCTCCAAAATGAGACTACAACTTTTTTCTTCTGTTTCCCTATTGATGATTCATACTTAATATGAATGAGACAATAATAAATATATGTCAGTGAGCATTAGCCTTTAGTGTGAATCAGAATTACATAGGAAACAGTAGATCTGAGGTGGGGTCAAGAGTTCACATTTTCAACAGTCTCCTGGTGATTCTGACATGTGGCAGACTAGCACACTTTAAAAACATACAAGTATTAATAAAACGAGATTGGGTTAAATTTGTGGTACATAACTTTCTACATGGTGTTCCATTTGGAACAGTAAATAAACCCTGCTAGAGAAGTTCACAGTTACTTATCTAGACAATAAATGATCTGGGGTGAGAACTCCTACTGTTATTTACAACTTTATTAAGAACCTGTGACCTGTCAGACACTGTGCTAGGTATTGGAGGTACTAGGATGGAAAGGAAAGATTGTGCTTTGAGAAGCAGAGTCCAATGCATTATTTCTTAGTTTTTCTTAAAAAAAAAGCTTCAGTCCACAATCAGAGATATATTTTTCATAACAACTCAGGGTGTAAATATATATATACATATATATACACAGAGAGACACACACACTTAAAGGAAATACAATTTTCACAAAACAATTATCACCTACCTATGATATAGTTTGATTCTTTACTATTTGGCTCCAATCAGTTCTTTTTTTATGTTTATTCATTTATTTATTTTTTCTTAAATAGTTATTGTCAAGTTGGTTTCCATATAACACACAGAGTTCATTGCAACAAGTGCCCTCTGCCATGCCCATCATCCCCGTTCCCCTCTCCCCCACACCCTTCAGCCCTCAGTTTGTACTCAGCGTTCAAGAGTCTCTCATGGTTACCCTCCCTCCCTCTCCCCAACTATTTTTCCCCTTCTTCTCCCTCAGGGTCCTCTATTGGCTTCCTCCTAATCCACCTATATGTGCAAACATATGGTATCTGTCCTTCTCTCCTTGACTTATTTCGCTCAGCATAACACCCTCAAGTTCCATCCATGTTGCGACACATGGCCAGATTGCATTCTTTCTCATTGCCATGTGAGATAAATATACCACATCTTCTTGATCCATTCATCAGTTGATGGACACTTAGGTTCTTTCCATGTTTTGGCTATTGTTGAGAGTGCTGCTATGAACATTGGGGTACATGTGCCCCTAGGCATGAGTACTCCTGTATCCCTTGGGTAAATTCCCAGCAGTGCTACTGCTGGGTCATAGGGGAGTTCTACTGTTAATTTTTTGAGGACCCTCCATACTGTTTTCCAGAGGGGTTGCACCAGTTTATATTCCCACCAACAGTGTTGCATTTTTATACACCAATAATGAAGCAACAGAAAGAGAAATCCAGAAACTGAACCCATTCACAATTGCAAAACAAAACAAAACAAAACAAAAAAACCATAAAATACCTAGGAATAAACCTAACCAAAGATATAAGAAATCTGTATCATGAAAACTATGGAAAAGTTATGAAGGAAATTGAAGAAGACACAAAGAAATGGAAAAACATTCCATGCTCATGGATTGGAAAAATAAATATAGTTAAAATGTCATTACTACCCAAAACAATCTACACATTCAATGCAATCCCAATCAAAATTGCACCCGCATACTTCTCAAAACTAGAACAAACTATCCTCAAATTTGTATGGAACCACAAAAGACCCCGAATAGCCAAAGTAATATTGAAGAGGAAAACACAAAACGGGAGGCATCACCATCCCAGACTTTAGCCTCTACTACAAAGCTGTCATCATCAAGACAGTATGGTATTTGCACATAAACAGACACAAAGACCAATGGAATAGAATAGAGAAATCAGAATTGGACCCACAAATGTACAGCCAACTAATCTTTGACAAAGCAGGAAAGAGTATCCAATGGAAAAAAGACAGCCTCTTTAACAAATGGTGCTGGGAGAACTGGACAGCAACATGCAGAAGAATGAAACTAGATCATTTTCTCACACCATATACAAAATAAACTCAAGAGGGATAAAGGACCTAAATGTGAGTTAGGAAACCATCAAAATCCTAGAGAAGAAAGCAGGAAACAACTTCCTTGACCTCAACTGCAGCAACTTCTTACTTGACACATCCCCAAAGGCAAGGGAATCAAGAAGAAATATGAACTACTGTTAACTCATCAAGATTAAAAGCTTCTGCACGGCAATGGAAAAAATCAATAACACTAATAAGCAACCGACGGAATGGGATAAGATAGTTGCAAATGACATATTAGATAAAGGCCTAGTATCCAAAATCTATAAGAAACTCACCAAACTCCTCACCTGATAAACAAATAATCCAGTGAAGAAATGGGCAGCAGACATGAACAGACACTTCTCTGAAGAGGACATCCAGATGGCCAACAGACACATGAAACGATGCTCAGTACCCCTCCTCATCAGGGAAATACAAATCAAAACCACACTGAGATACCACCTCAGGCTGGTTAGAGTGGCTAAAATGAAGAAATCAGGAGACTCTACACTGATTGGTGGGCTCTAATCCGTTCTATTCAACCCTACTTCCCTAACAAATTTCAAGTCTTGATGCATTACATTTTTTTCAAGCTCTCTATATCAGGGAGTGTGGGACTTAGCTTAACACAATTAAACTACAGTTTAACACAGTAACACAGTTTAACACATATCATCTGTGATGTGTATCTTATGTAGCACATGTATTTATTCTTCTAGGCACATATTTCATGTGAAGGTGGGAGTGGGGAGGCTAAGTAGTCTCCTCATAAACCAGTGCTTCTCAAACTTTAATGCATACAGAAATCAATTGCAGATCTTTGTTAAATTCAGATTCTGATTCAGTGCTTCTAGGATGGAGACTTGAGATTCTGTGTTTCTATCTTTCGGGTGGTGCTGATGCAGCTGGTCCATTAACCAGTGGTCCATTGACCACTATTTGAGTAGCAATGCTCTAAAAACCTTAGGTGTGGGTATGTGTGCTAACCTTGTAAAGAAGGACCTGGCTGGAGTTTCCTAGGAGACAATTACCTCTAAGGAAAGAGGAATGAAGCAGACAAGGCCCTGACAGATGAGAAAAACAGTGTGTGCCATTCAAATTTTATTCCAGCTTCCCATATCTAATCTGGTAGAGATATAGCTGTACACAAAAACATATTAACAATGCAACAAACACAGAAAATATTGGTTTGCTAAAAAATTCTGAGATCCATTAAGGGCCAAAGTATCACTGGAATGTTACCCACTTGGGTAAGCATAATTCTAGCTTTATCTTCCCTTCTATAGGTGATATCATGTCAGGCAGGTTTTGAACTCACTGGGGACTCCAGGGAAATTGACTGGACTTTGTCACCTTGAGGACACCAGCCCATCAGCAACACTGAGAACCTTGAGTGTGGTGAACTCATGAAAAGAGGCGCAGTGTGCAGCAGACAGCAGTACCCCAGGTAGGGTGGCACCCATCTTTTGACTTCCTGGACTTATTCCTGGGAATTGGTGAGATGTGCCTTCTATGTGTCTGATGGGAGTCTTGGTACTGCTAGCATAGGGGAAAATGTAGAAACCAGACCAACACAGCTCACATATTCACTGCCTCATCTATTCCACTCAGGAATCCTGTGTGTCTAGTATTATCCCCATTTCACTGATGACAAGACTGTGTTTCACAGCAATTGATCTATTGTAACTGGCAGGTTAATTCCTCTAAATATGAGTCCTAGAGGGAATATGAGTTTTACATACTAAGTTCTGACAAGAAATTTAAGTGTCTCCACTAGCTTTCATAAATTCACTGAATAGATCTTTGTACTTCTTTTTCTGTATTGTTTTTTTTATTTTTTTAGCATTTATTTATGAGAAAAACAATCTGTATTCTTTAGGAAAAAAATAAACATATAGGTAGAAAGAAAACAAAGAAATTGAGTTTCCCACAGTTTTATAATTCAGAGAGCCACTGTTAACCTTTTGGTCAAAAAAGTTTCTATTTTTCCTGTGCACTGATGTGCTATCTAAAGTTATGTCTTTACAAAAGTAGACCAATTTCTGTAGAAGATATTATAAGCTACTTTATTTTCCCAAGAATTATAATGTCATTGCAATGCACATGGATGAAAATCCCCTACTGATAGCTTGCTATAGTTGTGTCAAAAGGTTGCTGATAACAAGAATGATAGCTAAAGCAAATTATTAGCATAAGGTTAAAGCACAGGACCTGACAAATGCTTTCCAGAGGCACTACACAAAAGGAATATCTTCAAAGCCTCTTTGTGGGGCTCTGCAACCACCCCTGAGTTCCCTTGGGCCCCTTGGGTGGAAGGGGTCCTGTAAACTTTTTTGCATCCACATAAACACCCCCAATTTCTGCTTGGTTTTCTTTACCTCATCCTCCACCCTGGTCATCTCATCAAATTCTCTTATCATCTCCTCATTGCTCAAATGCATATTATGGATGGCCTCCTTATATTCTTTGAGGCACTGAGCCAGCCCCTTGTTGGTTTTTCTTTTGGCCTTCCTCGGTACATCATCCCCAGATAGGCACTTTCCTACAGTCTTTGGTTCACTGGCTGGCTTTTCTTCTTTTGACTTTTCCTGACTCTCTGGCTTTTCTGCATTCACTGGCTTTTCTTCACGCTCTGATTTTTCCTCTTTTGGCTCTCCCTTGCTCCCTGCTTCTCCTTCTTTTGACTGTCCTTTGTTCACCGGCTTCCCCTCATTCACAGGTTTTCCTTCTTCTTTTGCCTTTCCCTGGCTCTCTGGCTTTCCCTCACTGACTGATTTTCTCTCATTCGCTGGCTTTCCCTCTTTTGCCTTTGCCGCACTCCCTGGCTTTTCGTTGTCCTTTAATATTTCCTCATTTTCTGTCTTTCCTTTGTAATTTGTTTTCCCCTCATTTTCTCACTTTTCCTTGTCTTCCAGAGTACAAGCTTCTTCTGGCTTTCCCATATCCTGTGGCTGTTCTTTGTATTCCATCTCTCCTTGGTTCTCAGGCATTCCTTCGTTTCCATTGCAGAGTTTATCCATGTTGAGATTTCCCCTCCTTTTCCTGTCCTGGGGGTGGGAGAAAGAGGAGACAAGGAGGACTGAGGGCTTGGGGGTTGAATGCAGAATGCAGGTTTGGATCATTTCATACCTATATACCCTTATCTGGGTTCCCGTAATCTGGTCTGGCACTCCAAGTGTGCCTTCTGCCAAGCTCCTTTTCCCAACATTCCTCCCACACACAGGAGCCAACCATTTCTCTCAGGCCTTACCATTTTCTCTTTGATTGCTCAGCGTGGTAAAGTGTAAATGTGCTGGGAGGTGGGTGGTTGGACCCATATTCTGCCCATGCTGTACCCTCCACACTCTCCACCCCTCTAGGTCCCTGTCCAGAGACCCCCTTACTTCACTGACCTGCAGGAATTCAGGACAGGTTTCTCTTCCTTTTCTAGCCTTGTAGAGTGCTGAGAATAAACACGCAGAACTGCAGACAGGAGAAAGAGACTGGGAATTTGGTGGATGCACAAAATCCTGGGTCCCTTTCCTGAACCCTGGCCCTCCAAGTGTCTTCTGCACACTATTACCCTACCATTACTTCCAACCATTTCCCTGGCAGGCCCTACAGCCTTCTGTACCATCCTTCAGCGTGGCGGGGTGTCTGCAAGATATGTGGTGGAGGATGGGCACTGGGGCTCTCAAATTCTGCCCAATCTGTGCCCTCTACACCCTCCCCCCTCCGTTCCTGTCCAGTGCCCCTCCCCCCTTTCAGTCACCTGCAGAGATTCTGGACAGGTTCTTCCTCTTTTTCTAGTCTTGCAGTGTGCTGGGGACAGACACACAGACCTGGAGATGGACAGGAGACAAGGGCGGTGCCTGTGCTCTCAGCCCACTGAAGTTTCTTTCCTGAATCTGGGCCCTCCTCATGCAACATTTCCCTCCCCTACCTCCCCAGCATCCCAGCCGCCATTACTTCCCAGGCCTCAGGCTCCAGACCAGGATGGTTTCCAAACTGTTTGGGTCTTGGTTACCCCCCTCCCCTGCAGACAAGCCGCCCACCGCACGCCTTTTCCGCGGAGGTCAATATTTCCTCTTAGGTGCAGAGTGTGAGAGCAGAGGGGGTTATTTCTAGAATATGTCTGTCTACATTTCACTGTCGCACTGCGGGGGCTCCCACCCCCCATTTCAGGTCCAAAAATGGATGGAGGGCTCAGAGAAGGGGCGTCGGGGAGGCGGCGGGGCCTGCTTCGAGGTGCTCCCTCCCCACCTGCCCGCGGCCGCGCCACATTCCCCTCCTCCCCAACCTCCCGGGCCCCTCCCCACCCCGCGCTGCTCCCAGATCCTACTCCCATCCACCTCCACCCCTGCCCGGGCCGCCGGCAGCACCCACCTTTACACCGACCTGCGGGCCCGGCGCAGGCCTGCGCCTCTTTGGGCTCGCTGAAGCCCGCTGGCTCCTCGCCCGCCGCCCGGACAGCTCAAGGAGCTGGTTCCGCGCGGGCGACGGGAGCGGACAGCGCAGGGACCGGACAGCAGGGCGGGTGAGCAGGCGGCGCGGGGGCTGCTGCCCACGCCGGCGCCCAGGCGGTCACGTGAGCGCCGCGTCACCCAAGCTCGGTCCCCCACCCCGCCCCCTCATCCCCATCCCCTAGGGACTGGGCAGCCATAGAAAGTGGAGAGCAGTGTGGCAAAGGGGGGTCACCGAGAGAGCAGTCCAGAGGCTCCTCTACCGCAGGTGCTTTACCTGGCGCGCATCTCAGGTCCTCTCAAAGCATCCCTCTGAGATGTACGTCATTGCCAGGTGTGACAGCTGATCGCAGGGAGGGTACCCGACTTTGCCGAGAGCGCTCAGCAACTGAATCCTACAAGCTGCTTTCAAGACCGGGCTCTGCCTGACTCCAGAGTCCTGGTGGTAGTGTCCGCCAGGAAGCGGAGCTGCCTGCCACCTTGAGTAGCTGTGTTCCTAGGCCTCCTCTCTCCTCAGTCCACATGTTCTCTCTCCCTGCGTGATTTCTGTTCATTTCCCTCTAAGTGCAGATGATTCTCAAATCTCTATCCCCAGGCAATTTGCTACCCTGAGCCCCAGACCCTCTTTGCCAACTGTCTCTTGGCTACCACTGCTTGAATGTCTCTGAGGAAACTCAAAATCTGTATACCCCAAACTGCTTTCACCAACTTCCTTCTCACCTTCTCCCTTCACTTCTCTTCACACTTGAAACTTGCACTCCAGTATTTCGCCTGTTCTTATTCAGAGAGAGTGTCAGACAGCTAAACAAGAAAGTATTAAAATATTTTTTAAATGGATCACAGATGAATAGATTTATCATAATCCTTGGTGTACAATATACTATCATTAACCCTTTGTCCCTCTTTTCTTTTTCTTCCTTTTATTTTCTTCCTTTCCTTTCCTGTTCCCCTTTCATATTGTGAATCCACCACCTACCTCAAAAATTGGACAATCCCCAATACTAAAGTTGCTACAGTGTAATGGACATATTTGGTTTTGACAACGTGACTATAATGTGTCTTAGTTTGGATTATGTTTATCCTGTTGTAATTAACTGAACTTTTTGGATGTATAGATAATGTGTCCTCTAATGAGTAATATTTTAGCTTTTATTTGCTCAAAAATTCTTTCTTCTCATTTTTTAAAATCTCTTCTCCTTCTGAGATTCCTATCATGCATATGTTAAACATGCTTCATCGTGTCTCCTTGTTCTCTTAGGCTTTGTTTATTGTTCTTCCTTTTGCTTTTAGTTTTTGCTCCTCAGACTGGATAACCTCAATTAATCTATTTTCAGGTTAACTGATTCTTTCTTCTGCCTGCTCAAATATACTGTTAAACCCCCCTAGTGAGCTTTTCATTTCAGTTATTGTACTTTTCAGCTCCAGAATTTCTTTTGGGTCCCTTTTTTATCATTTCTACCTTTCTGCTGGTAGTTTATATTTGCTAAGACATTGCCTCTTCATTTCCTTAGTCCTTTATCCATAGTTTCTTTCAGCTCCTTGAGCATAGTTAAGACAGCTGATCTAAAATTTTGGTCTAGTTAGTCCAATACATAATCTTTCTTATAGTCAGGCTAATAATGTTTTCTTTCCTAGAAATACACCATATTTTTTTTATTTTCTTGTTTCTTCATATGCCTCACAATTTGTGTTGGAATCTGGATGCTTTGTATATTAGAAAATGTTAACTCTAAATTTGATCCTCCCACTTTCAGGGTTTGTTGTTGGTCTTTGTTGTGGGTTGTTTCTTTGTTTAGTGACTTTTTAAAATATTTTTGGGGGCGCCTGGGTGGCTTAGTCGGTTGGGCGTCCGACTTTCGCTTAGGTCATGATCTCGCGGTTAGTGGGTTCGAGCCCCGCGTCGGGGTCTGTGCTAACTGCCAGCCCAGAGCCTGGAGCCTGTTTCAGAGTCTGTGACTCCCTCTCTCTCTGACCCTTCCCTGCTCACGCTGTCTCTCTCTCTCTCTCCTAGAAATAAATAAAACATTAAAATATTTAAAAAAAAATAAAATATTTTTGTAAATTCTGTATTATTTGTGATGTGTGGCCACTGAAGTCTGTGCCTCATTAGCTCAGTAATCAACTGGTATTTGGACATAGTTACTTTAAATGTCTAGAACCATGAGAATAAAAATACTTTCCCAGTCTTTGCAGATGAACTCTGAATTGAAGTATTTTTAGTGCTTCACTTTTTGCTTGTGCAGATCCTGAAGAACATCCCAAGTTGAATGCTTAGGGTCTTTTGGCTTTTTATGAGCATGTGTCCAGCCTTGGGTACGCACATATACTTTTCAATTTCTTAGTATATTTGAGTTTTTAAAAGTGCTTGTTCCTCCATGTATGTCTCTTTCCCAACTTTTCATAGGCTTTTTAATCTATTGTTTATCCCAAATGTTGTTCCTTGTTTCAGGCTGCTATGGTCAATATCTGTGACTTTAAGTGTTTTTGGCAAAAACCACCCAGGAAGCTGTCCCAATTCCAGTCCCAGGAATGGTCTGCTTAGTGTGACACATGGAAGTTTTTGTGCTAGTTTTTCAGGGAGCTGCCAGACATACTAAGATCCACAACCAGAATTCTATGAGAATGGGATCTAAATTCTTCCCTCTGGCACTAGCAATCTAAACCAGGATATCAAGCTGCCATCCACAGACTGCTCACAACCTGGGAAATGGGGGATGGTAGGCAGACAGTTTAAAATTTCTTACCACAAAGCAATAGCCTCTTTCTTCACCAAATTTCCCCCTGGTTGTTACAATTTTTATTTTACTAGATTCCAGAGTTCTACAAGAGTTGGTTCTGATACTTTTTGCCACCTTATTAGTTGCTTTTACAGGAGAGTTCAAGTCCCAGAATTCCATACCCTGCCATTTTCAGTAAGGTTACTTTTCTTTCTATTCCTACTTGTCAGTGTTGGTAGTTTGTATCTTTATTGGAATTTGTCCTTTTCATCTATCTCGTCTTATTTGTTGTCATACAGCTGTCCATAGTATTACTGTATATCCTGTGTAAACCTGTAGAGTTAAGAGTCATGTGTCCCCTTTCATTCCTGACTTTAATAATTTGATTCTTCATCCTTTTTTGTTGTTGTTGTTGTTGTTGTCAGTGTACCTATAGATTTGCCATTTTTTCCCTTATATTTTCAAAGAAGCAACCTCTGGTTTTAATGATGTTCTCTATTGCTTTATTCCCTATTTAATTTATTTCCATTCAAATTTAACCATTTCCTTCTTTATGACTTCTTTGGTTTTAAGCTGATTTTTCTAGTATTTTAAGGTGGGAATTTAAATTATTGATTTCAGATTTCCATGCTTTTAATAGAAGCATTTACAACTATAAATTTCCCTCTAAGTACTGCTTAACTACATTCCATAAGTTTTGGTATGTTGTGGGGCGCCTGGGTGGCTCAATAGGTTAAGTGTCCTACTTCAGTTCAGGTCATGAATTCGTGGTTCGTGAGTTCGAGCCCCGCATCGGGCTCTGTGCTGACAGCTAGCTCAGATTGGATTTGGATTCTGTATCTCCCTCCCTCTCTGACCCTCCCCTGTTCACGCTGTCTCTCTCTCTCTCTCTCTCTCTCTCTCAGAAATAAATAAAAGAAAAGAAAAGTTTTGGTATGTTGGGTTTTCATTTTTATTCATATCTAAATAGTTTCCAATTTCTCTCATGATTTATTCTGATTAAATGGAAATATATTGTTTAATTTCTACATTTTTATAGGTTTTCAGATTTCTGTATATTTTTGATTACTAATTTAAGTCCATTATTATTAGAGAATATTATTTGTATGATTTCAATCCTTTTAAATGTATATGGTATTTTATTATGGCCTGTCCAAAAGAATGCTGCATGAGTGCTCGACAAGAATGTGTATTTTGATGTTGCTTGAAATATTTTTTAGATGTCTATTATTCTAGCTGGTTTGTAGTTTTATGCAAGTGTCTTATTTTCTTACTGATATTCTTCCTATTTGTTCCATTCAGTTTTTAAAGTATCATTTTGAAGTCTGCATTTACTATCATCAAATTGTCTTCTTTCCCTTTCTTTTCTGGCAGTTTTTGCTTTATGTATTTTGATATGTACATACGTTTACATATATTTTAATATATTTCTTTTGAATTGACCTTGTTATTACAAAATACTTTTCTTGTTCTCCAGTAACGTATTTTGTCTTAAAGTCTGTTTTGCCTGATATTAAAATAGCCAATACTGTTTTCATTAGCCTCTGCATGAAACATATTTTTCCATCTTTTGACCTTCATTCTATTTATTTCTTTGAATCTAAAGTGTTTTTCTTGTAGATAGTGTACAGTTGAATCATGCTTTTTTGCCCATTTGACTAATTTCTGCCCTTTGAATGGAGGATTTAATCAATTTGTATTGAATGTAATCGTGGGTAAGGTAGGATTTACATCTACCGTTTCACTATTTGCTTTCTATATGTTGACTGTCTTTTTGCTCCTTTATCTCTCCACTATTTCATTCTTCCTAAAAGACATTTTTTTATATACCGTTTTAATCCCCTTGTTGTTTTTAGAAGATTAGAAGTTTAAAAACAATTCTTAGTGGTTGCCCTAAGGATTGAAATTAACATCTTAAAACAATCTAATTTTGTCAATTCTAACTTTATTTCAAAACTATTAAAAAGTTTGTTCTAATATATCTTCATTCCCTCCTTCCTCTTTTGTGCTATGATTTTCAATAGAAATTACATGTGTAGCCACTGAATACACATAAGTGCTATTTTATAATTATTGTTTACACAGTTTCCTTTTCAATCAAATAGGAAAAACTCACGAACAAACATACATTTATACTGTCTGTATTAATTTTTTATTGCTGCTTTAACAAAGTACCACAAACTTTGTGACTTTAAACAACAGGTTTATTCTCTTACAATGCTGGACATCATCAATTTGAAGTAGTTCGATGGGGTTTAACCATGGTATTAACAAGGCAATACTGAGTCTGGGAAGTTTAGGGGAGCATCAATTCCCTGCCGTCTGGAGCTTCTAGAACTGCATTCCTTGATTTATCT